GAAAATATGTTTGGCTTTTTTGTGTAATTAGCTGTAAGGGAAAAGTTAGCCGCCAGTCTTTGTAATTAACTTTTTAGTTGTGTCAGCTCTTCCTTAACCTGACTCGCCTCAGGAAGCATCAGTGTAAGTGCGCCATGAGACACCACCAAAGCTGTTTTGAAAAAGCATTTTAATGTTGTTGAGGGGACTTCCTTCAATATTTTTTGAACCCAGTGTGATAGATTGAAAGCAGAGATCCAAGAAGCAGAGAGAGCAAGAAAAGTTGCAGGAATTTCAGTTTAGCGACTGTGAGTGTGTTTATCTGCGTGCATGACTGAGAAATGGCGGTGAACAAGTGTGTGTGTTTGTGAATTAGAAATCAAAAAAGGACTGAGCCTATGTGTGTCTATGTGATTTTGTGTGTGTATGTGTGTCTTTAAGCGCTGATGCGTCAGGACCTACAGAGTGTGAAATGGAGCAGGGAGGTTCTGGCTTCAGCCGTGACACTGCAACACACACACACACACACACACACACACACACACATCTCTCTCTCTCTCTGTTTCTATCTCTTGCTCTCTCGCCCATCCCACCAACTGCACATCCTCCTCTTCCGCTCCTATTTTCTTCTTTTCTCTGGTTTTCCCACTTCCATTTTATCTCCTTCCTTCCCTGGTTCTTCTTCTGCTCCTTCCTCCCTTTTCCCTCTCATTCCATCTCTTCAACTTCCTCTGTATATCTCCGTCACTGTTTTATTCTGCTGCTTTATCTCTCTGGATAAAGCACAGCCTGCTGTGGAGTTTGTTTTCCCCCTGCTCGCTGCGTTTATCTTCCATTTGGATGCCGTGTATGTGCAGTACCATGGTGAGAGAGACATAGACGGAGAGAGAAAAGAGAGAGACAGCATCCCCATGTCAGGCCAATGATGGATTAGAATACTAAAATACTGGAGAGAGAAAGCAGACACACTAGACGCTCAAATCTGACATGGTGTGTGTGAGTGTGTGAGTGTGTGTGTATGTGCGTGCACTTTCACCCGTGTAAATCTACTGCACGGTAATAGAACAATAAAAAGAATGCTTCTTTCTACACACACACATCTTCCTCTCTATTCCTCTCTCACCCTTTAGGCTTTCTGTCTCTCTCGTTGAGTTGATTTAACGCATGGCTTCTCCGCTTGTTTATTTCAGTACATATTAATGTAAATCACTGGTGTCCATTCCATCCTCTCTCTCCCTCCACTGTCTCTCTTACTCCCTCCGTCCATCCCTCTTGTCATCCTGCCACCGGGTGCCGGTCCTGGCATCAAACCACGAGACAACAATTAAAACGAACAAACAATGTGGCCCGTAAAAGGTCGACGCTCCAGCCCCCTCCGGCCACGTCAATCAAAAGCCCGCCCTCTGCTGCTGATCTCAATTAACCTCCACTATTGGGTAAAAGGACGTCACTTCATCTAATCTCTCTAATAAAGGAAGGAATCTGTGTATATGTGTGTGTCTGTTTGTTTGTATTTCAATTATGTAAGGAACCATTCATCCAATCGACTTCCAATGGCAGGTGTGTTGTTGCGGACCCAGGGGAGTGCAGTTTCATGTTTTGTGCATTTTTAACACGCAATACGTTCAGAATTATTAAATACAGTAAAGAACAGTGCTGAGCGGAGCTCTGCAACAGCGAGAGCGGGGTACACTCGTGGGGACGGGGCTTGTATGCTCCGGTGTGGTAGTAATTGTTGAAACCAGAGATGGGGACTTTGAGTTTGAGACTCGGACTCAAGTCCGACTTAAGTCACACACACAGTGACTTCAGACTTGACTTGGACTCAAGATGCAGGACTCCTGAGCATTGTTTATTTTTAGGAAACATCTGATTAGCTTACTGTTATTCCCCTCCCTGCGTTACCTATAACCTGCCTACGTAGCACATACGCATCTGCTGGCCACATGTGAGAGAGGACAACAAACACCAGCAGCTGCTGAGCATTCATCATAAGCTTTGGCTTTAAAACTTCACACAACAAGACCCAAACAAAGAAGCGCTGAATGCAAAATAGGTTAGTAACCTGAGGTTAGTAAACATGTTTAGCTCAGAATTGGCCATCTAATGTTAGCTTACTTCTTGTTCAGCCACGACCTACAAGAGGATAACTCCGACTGCCGTTCGTTATGAAAAGATGAATGAGCGTTTGTTTACTTGCCAAACTTGTGGTGGTCGATAACGTAATGATTTACATCCCGCTGGCTGCTATCACATTAATTATTAACGTTGGCTGCAAACAGGTTACAGGTTTATTGTTGATCATGTAACGTTACAGTTTTAAAACGTTACACTGGGTTTGAGAGTCTGCGGGGTGTGTTGACTTACAGTAGTTTATAAGCTGTCATTGATTGCATTGCACATTACATGGTTGTGCTCTGTGAAAAACAGGTTACAGGTTTATTGTTGATCATGTAACGTTACAGTTTTATTAAGGTAATGTTACACTGGGTTTGAGAGTCTGGGAGGAGGGTGTTGAATTACAGAAGTTGATAAGCTGTGATTAATTGCACTGCACATTACATGTTTGTGCTCTGTAAATGAAAAACAGGTTGCAGTTACAGAATCTTACAGCAGTATTGCAGTATAATAAGCAGCCTGGATTGAACGCATGGTTAAAATTCATTAAAACCACGAGTGACTTGAGACTTAACTTGGACTCTAGCTCAAAGACTTGTGAGCATCTCTGGTTGAAATAGAGTTATTGTCATCCAGGATTTATATATGTTAGAAATGAATGTTTTGAAACAGTTGTAAGAGTTTTATGTTTAATGTTAAGTTCTAGGTAGGCGCTGAATATCTAGCAGTATCTCCACCATTGTCGTGTTGTTTCAGTGTTATTAATGCTGTAGGTCAGCGGTCGGCAAATAAGTTTGATAATTTAAAATCAATTGTTAGGTTTCCTGTTAGCTCAGTCAGTAGTGCACAGGCCTTTTAATTGGAAGGTTGTGTCTTCAGTCCCCCCCCTTTCACAAATATATTTTTGCCTCTGCAGCAAATTAACCATGCGATAAAGCATGTGCTGGAGTGTGTGGGTCCCGGCGATCCACATTCATTAACATATGGACACGTATTTTCATTTACCCTGCATCTCCAGGCAGAGGAAATTCCTGTGCTTCTCATTCAGGGGAATCATGTTTCCTGAGGCTTTTTTAAAGAGGCTAAGCAAGCAACAGTCTCTTTTGAATGTCTTTCAGAACTTTTCAAAGTAAAAGCTCTCAATTCTACAAAAAATAAAGCATTGCTGCAAAAAACTTTCACTGGTATTTGTTTTGTAGGCACAATCACTTTAGGAAGTGATTGTTTGAGAACTGTTGCTGTCATGACTGAGATCTATTTCAGCACCAGCTGCTATTTAAGTATTTATTTTTTTATCATCCTCTTACCAACCACTGCTGTAGGTGAAACCAATGTTTGAATGCACATTTTGAACAGAAAGCGCAGGGAGGTCTTACATCGGCCCCTGTGAACGGGCACTGCACTTGTTCTATGTAACGTTGGCCAGCATAGCTTTCAGGAGAGCAGTGTGGCAGGAGATATGGAGCATGGATTTATGCTGCAGCGAGAGGAGTTGTCATGTGGATGACGCAGCAAACTTGGACTACCTGAATTAGTTTGCAGGCTTCACTTCAACTGCTCACCTTGTGCACCCACTTTCAAAACCACTCTAGGAATTTTAAACTGATCTTTCTACCTGTTCCACAAGCCATCTTGTTTTAAGCACTTTTACGATTTTCGACAGGTCTTTATCCCTGGTCACGCAAGAAAGTGGCACAGCAAAACTCAAGGTTGGTGGTGTTGTGACTACTCACAGGGCTAGTTAGCTAACTGCTATAGTTAACAAGCTAATTGCTAGCCAGTCTAGAACCTGCTATTGCTAGTCAGTCACAACAGCTGTCCACTGTTCATTGAAATTAATTGATGTAATTCCAAACGTTGCTTTTTTCAATGCTGGTGTGACGAGCATTTACTCTGACTTGTCCAGTCCCACTAGGAATTGGTGTTCTTCCAAATAGAAGGAATTCATCACACTTCAACCAGTTTTCATGCTATATGTAAGGCCTTACATCAATTCAATATGTCCACAACAAATGGTTAAATCAGAAGATTTTCAAATTATACCAATCACTGCCCTTTGTGTGGTGTGAGCCCACAACAAATTAACCTTTCTCACAGAGCTTACGCTCAGGCTGTGTGTGTGTGTGTGTGTGTGTGTGTAACTGCCAACAAGCTCCTCCAGTTGAAATCTCAGCAAACCACTTCTAACAACTTTCCTCAATTGACTCATCTCTAACCAGATTCCTCAAATATACCATCTGGTTAATGACTGTTAGGAGTGCTACACAGCCTGGGACACTGAAGACAAAACTATGTTCAGCTGGATATTAAATATAAAGTTTTTTAAACAACACAGCAGTTCATTGCAAAACAATTGAAAAGGTTGCAATTCTTACCAAAGCTAAGACAACAGAATCATGGTGGGACTGAGAGAAAGGGAAATCTACAGTGGAAAAATTTTGAATTACAGATCACTAGAATAATTTCTGTAAACTACAGAACGCTATGTGTGTTCATGGTGATGAAGGAACATGTCACCCACTGCAGCAGTGAGGCTCACTGACGGGTTTTAATAGTTTCTACACGACAATAGAGCTCTATGGCTCAGAAGAAGAAGAGACATCAGGCTGTGAGACACATGTGAGTTGTTAATTATTCATTGTTGGTTGGGTCTATTCATGGGATTTAGTGGCAGAAAGAAAAATATAGATTCATGTCATGGTTGACCTAAGTCAGAGGTTTTAAGGTGCACATGGTGTTTCTTTAAACAAAGCTGTCAATGCTGACAGCTCTCTGAAGAGTCCTTCATGGAGACATTTGCAGTCATTACAATGAATGAATGTTTCATTGTAATCAGTATCCTCTGTTAGATTACAGTGCCTGATTGCTGTTTATGACTCAGTTAATACTTGGGCAAAGCACTCCTCACAGAACATCATGATTTATTGTTCAGCCGGCGGAATGTTTAAAGAAGAATCTCAGGTGAGCCAACAGAGCTTTACGCTGTCTCTTATCACTGTTTCATTGACTGACAGGCGCTTTGTCTGAGGGGTGTGTTTAGACAGAAAGGCCTTGAGTGTGTGTGTGTGTGTGTGTGTGTTTGTGTGAGCCTGCATTTGTCAGTAGTTGCACACAATGCCTGAGGAAAAAGAGAGGTTAAAGTACACAGCAGACCTGTCACCTCTCTATCTCTCTCCACATCCTTTCATTCCCTTTGTAGTTTGTTTCCTCGGCAGCTTCACAAAGCAAGTGTCCTCTTCCTCCTCCTAGCTTTCTTCTCCTTTTTGCCCACTCCTTCTCTTCACTCTTCTCATTCCTCTACTCCTTCCATCCTCTTCCTATCCCTTTTCAACTCTTTTTTCCTTCTTCCCCCTTTCCAACCTCTTTTCCTTGTTATTTTCTTCAATGTCTATTTCGTTCTTTTTTCCTCCTCTCTCTGCCCCTCTTTCTTTTTTCCTTCTTCCCTACTATTCCTTTCTCTTCTTACCCCCCCTTCCTCCTGTCCATCTCCTGTTTACATCTTTTCTCCTCACCTATTTATATTCTATTTGCCCCCCTTCCATTTCTTTCTTTTCCATTCTTTCTCCATGTTTGCTTCTCATCCTTTTTGTTCCTGCTTTTCCTTTGTCTTCTCTGCTTTTTCTCATTTGTTTCTCCCCTTTCTTCTTCCTGCCATCCCTCTTTTCTTGCCCTCTTTTTCTTCTTCTTCTTTCCTATTTTGTCCTCTTCTACTTGCTGCTTTCTTCTATGTTTATTTTCTACTTTTATCTTCTCCTTCTTGCTTCCACGCTTCTTTTTTCTTTCTCTCCCTCTAATTTGTTACATCTTTTGTTTCCTATCTTACCCTTGCTTTCCTTTTCCCTTGTCCCCCTCCTGCTCCCTCTCCTCCATTTCTTCCTTCGACTTGTTTCCCTCCTTTCTTCATTCTCTGGCTGTCTTTCCATTCCCATTTCCATCTTTCTCCTATTTCTCCTCCCTTCTGTCCGTCCTCTGTCTCCTTGCCCTCCACCATCACTGGCACCCCTGCAGATGTAAGTTAATTTTACACATTCCCAAGAAATGGGAAAGAAACGGGGGGGAAAAATTAGTGTCAGCAAAAGATTTATAAGACACAGAAAATCAAGAGCCGGCGATTCTCTCTGCTATATTTGTGCTCCAGGGTCCTTTCTGTTCTCGCTGTAGCACACTATTTCTATCACTGTCTGATACCCCCCCCCCCCCACACACACTAACCCAAGAAGCCTGTCAGATGATAAAGAGATGTTGTCAGGGAGTGATTATCAGCCTCCCAACTAAAAACAAGTAAAACATCAAACGCACAAAGACCACACAGGGACAGGGCCTTATTTTTTTCTAAATTTCTCCTCCATACATCTATCGCTCCTACTCGTTCTCTAACTCTTTTCATTTTGTCTCCGTGTCAATTTCAGAAGTAGCATGTGTTTTTCGCCTGCTGGGGAGCCATTTGATTTGTTCTACTGTTTTAGAGCTCATATTGTTTCTGGGATCTTGTTTTTGTTACTGCTTTATTCATACGGGGGCCGGTGGCAGCTCGGGTCCCGGTCCTGAGGCACCGGAGAGGGCAACACGGACGGGGATAGAGCAATAAAGCAAAAAAGAGCTGCATCGGCTCAATACATGGCAGGCAGTATGTGTGCAAATGTAAGGTGTGTGTGAGTCTCTGTAGTATGTGTGGCAATGCTGACGTGGATGGGAACGATGAATTGCAACACTCAAATTATGACAAAAAGCATTTTCTTTGCATTCTCTCCATCTGATCCCTGCACGCTCAAACACACACATCACACACTTGTCACTTGATGTTCATTAAACAATGAGAGCCAAGTGTGTAATTTGTCATTCATCCCAGCTGTAGAACAGAGACAGCGGCTGGGAGAAGAGGATCGCTGCATTCATCACCATGAAGTTTGAATGATGCATACTATGTAAGGATGACCCCATAGACAGGTAAGTTGTAACCAGTGGGACAAATCATCAACCATCAATAAGTAAAAAAAAAAGAGGTCCGACTGCAGCCGTGGGGCATTTCTGTGTGTGGGGCGTATTCACATCCAAGCAAGATCATTAGTTTGCAGTGTTTCCAGGCCAATCATCTGCTTTGACCCCAAACACATGCTGGTACTAAAAATGTACTATCCATTTGTGTTTTATTCTCTACTTCTCAAAATTAAAACTGATCATTAAATAAAAGTGAACCAATAAAAAAAATAAGAGTTTGGAATGTGGCACTCAATTATTAGATTTCAGGTGGTTGGGCTGTTGGATTTGCATTATGTTGACTATGTTGCCTATTTCTAAAAAGTAGCTTTTGGAGAAGCCAGAAATGAACATAGTGTACATAAATCATCAAAAGTTATAAATGGCTATAGCCTACAGTTTATCCTTAAGTTTATCAACTTTCATCAACTTAACTAGCTTACAAACTACATATCTTACTAAAACATTTGTTTGCACTTTGACAACACCATGTACCAACTTTTACAGATTTTCTTTTGCTATGTTGTAAAATGTATCAAATAAAAGAGTTTGTAGCCAGCTTCTGTGCCATTTGATTTTGTTACTAGCATAGCTAGCTTGGGAATGTTCATTATTTTATCTGAGCCCATTTACATAGACATAAGCCACACAAGCAATTTAGCTAGTTTTATTTTGGTAAATATTGGTAGCATCTTGCTAACAAGTTAAACCAGACATTAACTGTGTAAGCTTTGCAGCTCCTCTTAAAATAGTTGCATTAAGTTTAATCTTAATAGTATGTATTTTCTTTGTCTTGAATGGATTGACAGCAATTTTGGCTTTGCAGACATTTTGGCACCAGTTTGTGGACACTTGGTTATTTCCTATTGCCAACCGAGAGACATCAAAGCTGTCAGAAATTTGTATCTACTACTCATGATTAACACTGAGGGAGCTGACAGGAGCTGTTTCAACTGTCTGTACAATATGGCAAGAATGCAACATTACCTTCAAGCCATTATTTTATCCTGCTAACACACCTTGGCCTGCTAATGTTTGTGTACAGCCAAGCAAGCCACTCAAAATTATATAATCTTTCTGGACCTATGACAGAAACAGCTACATTATTGGTTGATGGTAACATGTGAATAACCTACCACAACTAGGTTTCCTGTGCTCCCAGGACATTACAGTAATACACCACTGCAGCTGCAGTCAGACCATTCTGAAAAAAGTGCAATTTTCCAAGGAGAAAAGGAAGGAACCAAGGAAAGAACTGAGGAATCAAGGGGATGCTACTGACAAATTGTGAAGTCCATTTCTTCATTATGCTTCCTATTATTTTACAGCCATCAGTCCAGGATTGTTGGCAGGTCCATTATATGCGAGTGTTTCCATGTGCATGGATGTATGTGTACGTGTGTGTGTGTGTATGTGTGTCTTCTCTATATCCTCTGTTCTACCCCCAGCTAAGGGAGGCAGACAGAATCAGAAGGAGCAGTAGTATGGATTTAGGAGGGCCAGTGGTCTGGGATGCAGCTCCCCCTGTGCCGGAGGAGCCCAGGTTGGAGACAGTGGCCCTTTCTGAGTAGAGTGGGATGACGTCAAACTGGCCACCTTCATCACCCTCCTCCTCTGTCAGTTCTTCCACTTCTTCGCTCTCCACCACCTGAGAGGGAGAAGACAGTGTTAGTAAAAACTGTACAGCAGAGGACAGCAGATACAACAGTAGTACTTCTACAAAATGTTCACCTTAACTCTGAAATGTTAACTAGCGAAGATCAAGTTTGGGCAGATATTTGTTTCAGGTACTTTAAGGGTTTTCAATCTGAATCCCTGTTTTCTCATGTTTTATCTCTATGTGACTAATGGTAACAACATTTTTTTAAATTGGTCGCGTACTGTGTGAGTGCGCGGCTGTCGGCAGCAGTGAACAGGGCTGCAATGTAATCCTTGCATGCAATTATGCCCCGTTGAAGTACGTCCACTAAAATGCTTGTTTTTGCCACTGACAGGTTCAGATTGTCAGAAATGTCCAACAACTTTGTGGAAAGAATCCCTACAGAGAGAGAGCTTTTTTTAAGAGTAAGAATGTTTTTGTTTAACCAGAAACAGTCACTATAATGCTCTCGTCAAACGTCAAAGCCACCAGAATCCCTTGACAAAAATAGTCATTTTACCTCTCTGGTTTACTGCTGCCTTAATGAGTTAGTTTGTGTTATTGTGTGACTTTTTAACCCTTTAAAACCACCAAAGTAACAGAAAAACACTCCCGAGTTCTACAAGGTAAAATTACATCTGTAAATTAGAACAAGGGGTTTAGGGTTAGTGGTCAAACAATATGTGTTTTTAAACGTCCACCTCACGAGCACCTAGATCTCGTGAGGTGCCATTGTTGTTGGCGCGTAAGCAGGCTCATTTATATGCATCAGTATTCATGAGGTGCTTTGCATCAACCATTTATGGTTGAAAGTGCATGTGTAAATGGCTGCATGTGAGGCTGACCCACGTGTGCACATTTCCATGTGGACTGTGATGTATAAAGGGAAAGCTACCTACAGGTGTGTGTATGCAGAGTTTAAAATCTGAATTTTTTGGACATGCGCCATTTTCATTGTTTTTTAGTGTGCATGTCCACTGTTTTAGTATGGATTCCTGGTCATTTCCTATTTCACAACCACAATATTTGATAAAGGCTATCAAATCAAAATCTATATTTTTTTTACCATTACTACTTTGGAGCGGGTGATTCAAACTGCTCAGAAGATCATCGGTACCCATCTCCCGAGCATCAGTGATATCGGTGAGGTGAGGTGCCTGCGCAGAGCCCAAAGGATTCTAAAGGACAGTACCCACCCAGCCACAGCCTGTTCACCCTGCTGCCTTTTATTTTTTCTGCTGCCACACCACCAGACTGCAGAGCAGCTTTTTCCACCAAGATATCAGACTTTAAACTCTAATTCATCCTCAGCACTGTTCCACTGATGATAGTTAATTTCTGTTACCATTTTTCATAATTGCTGTTATATTAATTAAAATACAAACAAATTCACAACACAGATTATTGTTCAATACCTGCTTGAACAAAGATCTGCCAATGTAAATCTCATGTCATGTATTTTATTACATGTATGTGTGCGATTATACTTTTTAAATGTCACTTGAATGCCTTTCTGGTTCATGGTAAACATTACAATGTTTGTTTTTCTATTAAATATGATGTTAAATGTATCGTGTGTGTTCATGTGTGAACACTTTGATCAAGAGAAGTCTATCTTATTTAAAACTTTATAGCTGTTGATGAATATGATTTAATGCAGTGTTATGGGTGTTGACACCCAGCTGTTCATCCTCAATGATATGCACCAACATCTGGAATAGCTCAGGGCCCTTGCTGGGTTATTGTGTGCAGATTGTTCTTCTACAAATAATAATACGCCACTCTATCAATTTAGATTTTTTGACTAATTTTAAACTTTTCATCATCTAGGCTGACACTTGCAGAAGCTGTAAGCAAGCCATCTTGCTCTCCTTCAGGGTACAGAAATGCATCATGGTTTTTCTCACTTCTTAAAATAATTCTTGTCCTGTCTTTTTAATAACACTTTTCCTTTGATCTATTGCTTCTAGGAACATTGTTAATATTTCTATAAAGATAATTGGAGCAATATACTTATTATATACAGTGGTTACGGTATGTTTAAAATTGCTGTATGTTGTGAGTTGTCATGTTCAGTTGCTGTGATAAGAATAAATAAAGCTGTTATAGTATTGCACAGTATGCGTTGTACATCCCATTTCCACCTGGTAAAAATATGCTGAATCTGTGTCTGAATATCTTATCTGTATAAAGAAAGAAGCATGTTACCGCAGGTGTAAATGCGTCACACAAGAACACAATGCAATCCTAATGTGACAGGAGGAGCAACACCACATCTTTAGGTGATCTGACTTGAACTGTGATCTTCTCTCAGATGTAAATGCAGTTTGAACATAGTGTGGCCACATTGTCTGTCCACAAAGTTGAAAGGTCACCTAACTCCTCCTTTTCCTGCTATCTGAAACTCCATATGAAAACGCCATTGCCATGAGCCGAGAGTCACATGATCAACAAGGGTAGCTGAGCTAAGCATGCTATTGGTAACATTGGTAACTAGTCCATGCATTTGATATTCTAGGCTGGATTACTGCAATTCCTTATTATCAGGCTGCTCGAAAAAGTCCATTAAGACTCTTCAGCTGATCCAGAATGCTGCAGCATGTGTTCTGACAGGAACCAGGAAAAGAGATCATATTTCTCCTGTTTTAGCTTCTTTGCATTGGCTTCCAGTAAAATCCAGAATAGAATTTAAAATCATTCTTCTTACCTACAAAGCTCTTAATGGTCAGGCACCATCTTATCTTAAAGAGCTCATAGTACCTTACTACCCCACCAGAGCACTGCGCTCCCAGAATGCAGGGTTACTTGTGGTTCCTAGAGTCTCCAAAAGTAGACTAGGAGCCAGAGCGTTCAGCTATCAAGCTCCTCTCTTGTGGAACCAGGTTCCAGTTTGGGTTCAGGAGGCAGACACCATCTCCACATTTAAGAGTAGGCTTAAGACTTTCCTCTTTGATAAAGCTTATAGTTAGGGCTGGCTCAGGTAGTCCTGAACCATCCCTTAGTTATGCTGCTATAGGCCTAGACTGCCGGGGGATTTCCTATGATGCACTGAGCTCCTCTCTCCTCTACTTTCTCTCCCTCTGTATGCAACCTCATCCCATTATTGCATGTTACTAACACAACTTCTCCCCTTTCTGGTAGTCTTGTGCTTTCTCGTCCCTCTCCTCTCTCCTCCTATCACTTCCTGCAGGTTTTCTGGCTCTGGAGCTGTGGAGTCTGGATCTGTGGTTGCGGGTCACCTGCTGCCCCCGTGTTCCTGCTCGACACCCTCTGCTGCAACGACTATTGTTACTAGTCCTATTGTTATTATTGTTATTATAATCATTAACATTACGATTATTATCATACACAACACTACTATAAATATCTGTACAATTTTTCATTTAGTCTATAGCAACATCACCTTTACTGTCTGTACCTCTGTGTGGATATTGTTTAGGCTGCCCCCATCCCTCTCTACCTCTTAATCTCTCTCTCTCTCTCTCTTGCCCTCTCTCTCTCTCTCTCTCTCTCTCTCACCCCCAACCGTTCGAGGCAGATGGCCGCCCACCCAACACGTTCTCATCTCAATGCGTCATAACTGACACTTTCAGCCAGCGTGACAAAGCGTAAGGATTTTACATTAAAGGTACCCTTCAGCGTCAGTATGAAACGCCCCCGTTTCCTAAATTGCAGCATCACAAGGGAGGCTAACCCTACCTGTTAGCACATCGTGCCGATGTGCGCAGCTATAGGGTTAGCCGGTCGACATGCATACATTAAGTGACTTAGGTTTAAGTTCTAACATTTCTGATGGTTGTGGTAAGGGTAGGGGCTTCGGGGGGCTGTCAACACCTTTATCACAAACGTTGGTAGCTAGCACTTCCGGTCTGAACCAGACAACCTAAAGGGTACCTTTTGCGTCAAAATCCTACGCTTTGTCACTCTTTCTCAAATTGTCGGTATATGACGCCCTGAGATGAGAACGGGCTGGCCCACCCTGAGCCATGGTTCTGCTCGAGGTTTCTGCCTCTTAAAAGGAAGTTTTTCCTTGCCTCTGTCGCCTAGTGCTGCTCTTGGTGGGAACTGTTGCGTTTCTGTAAATAACATCACAGATTATGGTCGCTAAAGGGTACCGTCAAATAACTATGCTCTGTCACTTTTTCTGAAAGCGTTGGCATTGGACGCATGGAGATGAGAACAGGCTTTGGGCCTAATTCATTACAATGAAAGTTGCTCACCAGGTCCAGACTGCAACAAAAATTCAGGCGGCCATTAGCTTCTGTTTTTCGGGGACTATAGAGCACATATGCTAGAGTCCTCTTCCAGCTGAGCCAGTGTACACTGTGCACATAAATGGTAAATGGTCCTGGATTCAACCTGGGCCTCTGCAGTAAGGACTCTACCAACTGAGCTACCAATAACAAAATTAACAGGCTACTGGTATTCAAAATCCCATTAATATCCCATACAGTACTTAAATGCATTCCTTGAGGAAATTTTCAATTCAATTCAATTCAATTCAATTTTATTTATATAGCGCCAAATCACAACAACAGTTATCTCACAGCGCTTTTCATAAAAGAGCAGGTCTAGACCGTACTCTGTGATGCTATTTACAGAAGCCCAACAGTTCCCACCAAGAGCAAGCACTAGGAGACAGAGGCAAGGAAAAACTTCCTTTTAAGAGGCAGAAACCTCGAGCAGAACCATGGCTCAGGGTGGGCGGCCATCTGCCTCGACTGGTTGGGGTGAGAGAGAGAGAGAGAGAGAGAGATGTAAGGAGAGAGAGAGATGTAAGGAGAGAGAGATGTAAGGAGAGAGAGAGGGGAGGGAGGCAGCCTACACAATATACACACAGAGGTACAGACAGTGAAGGTAATGTTGCTATAGACTAAATGAAAAATGGTACAGATATTTATAATAGTGTTAATGGTAACCATCGTAATGTTAATGATTATAATAACAATAATAACAATAGGACTAGTAACAATAGTCGTTGCAGCAGAGGGTGTCGAGCAGGAACACGG